AGGTTTCTCCACACTCAGGCCACACACAGTCCATATGTCTGCATTACTTTTAAGGTTGTCTGAGCAAGAAAATCATTTTGTGCTGTGTGGGAGGCTTGTACTCAGCAGTAACAGAGCTCTCCTCACTCAGCCCCAGAAAGCTTTGCGGGACTTAAAGATTCCAGTTGAACAAGTTGGAGACGTGGTTTATGAAGGAATGTGCAGAATTTTCACACAAATTTTGATGCAACAGTGATAACGCATCAGAACCAGATGTGTGCTGATTACTAGTAGTTACAAAATCTCATCTTTATTATAAAATATGTATAATTCAGCCACCTAAGGAGGCAAATGTTTGCTTTACTTATTGCCCTATGGCCCATAGCTGACTGTACAAAGCAGTTTCATTGTTTGCCTGGACACACAGAGACTAATCACTACTCTTGCATGTAAACTTTTAAAATACTGATACCAGCCCCGAGTTTTCTTGTTGTTTGCTTAGTTTGTTGTAATTTAAAGAAAATAATCTTGAAATTGTCATCTGTCAGTGTAATTCCTGGCAGTGTGATATACAGTATCAATAAAAAGTTGAATTCTTCTCCACTTGCAGCCCATAATGTCCTTTGTCTTGGCCTGTCATCTGATGAAATCTACCGCTGCTTTCACACCTGAGCTGTTCGGTTCAGTACAAGTGAACTCTGGTACGCGCCTGTTCAGTGTAATTCATTTGGGCTGGTGTGAAGAATGTCAGACTGGTTTAAAGGGAGGGTCTTGGTCCATTTCCAATTCCAATCAAACGAATCAACAGGTTTTTTGTAAAAAAAAAAAAAAAAACCCTGCTCATTTAAAAATGTTTAAGATGCAATATTATCAAGCTTGATAAGCAGTGTGTACATTTATTTATATTGATCATATGGTGACTAGTGGTTAAGGAGCAGCGCTCTCGCCGCTGCAGCCTGGGTTCGAGTCAGGGTTGCATCAGGAAGGGCATTCGCTGTAAATCACGTGCCAAATGTCAACATGTGAATCGTCAGTGAGGCGATTCGCTGTGGCGACCCCTAAACAGGAAAAAAGCCGAAGGTTACATTCATGCACATGCGCATCAGCAAGCAGGTACAACTGTGCTTACCCTGTTCTGGGTAGAAGTATATGACACAGCAAGCCCACAGAACAACACCCAGAATATTGCTGTAAAAGATGTTTCTTCAGCCTCTTCTTACCGGTTAGTGATTGTTCATTACATGTGCTTGATTTGCACCCTAAAAATACTGATAATGTCTATTATCAGTTACAGCAACAAGAAATGCCCCGCCTATACAGTATGAATAAATCTCTTAAAATATTATCTGTATCTATAGATCATCAGGCCTTGTGCTTGTGTCTGTGATACCAAAAGATGGGATTAATAATTTTCTCTCATTAGTGCTTAAAAATGCTACTGATATATCTCCACATTAGGATGAAAAGAGCACAGTAACAGAACTCAAATATTGGCCATCGGTGCTTAAATTATTAACATACAGTGGACGCACATAACACACACTATCACGTGAACACACGTCTGTTGCACCCAGGTTGTGTTAATCACCACTTTCACACATGCAGTAGGAAGGTGGAGGTCGGGTTGGCTTATATATTTTTTTTCTTCCTCCACCTCAGGCCGTTTCTTGTCTCTGCGCTGTTGGAATCCTACTTGTGTGTAATCTTTTTCTGCTCTGTTCTTTGATTATGTTGTCATAGTTTATTTCTTTTTTTACTTTTTTCTTTTTAAAAAGACACTTTCCCATTCAGTTAAAGGGAAAAGTATGGCCAAAAATTTGACTGGTAGTGTAGGCTGAAGATTATTGGTTCTTAAAAATTCCTGAAATAAGGATAACCGCTTTAGGACAAGTGGTTTTATCTCACTTCACTGGCAGAATGGTTTTTCTTAAAAAAAAAAAAATAAAAAAAATCTTTAGAGCTAAATCTGTGAACAATGTACGATGTACCAGAGTCAAATTCCTTGTGTGTCCAACACACCTGGGGGGGAGGGACATTTTGGAACAATTAGTGCGGAAAAAGCTAAGAGTTAAAGTAGCAGCTGCTGGAATCTTGTCTAAAAATATCTACATATATTATTGTAATGAAAGCAGCTCCCTATACTCTTGATCCCTTTGCCTGTCAGCATCTGTTTCTCATTTCTTTTTGTGACTGAATAATAAAAAGTGTGCTGCTGCTGCCTTTTTTTGGCTGAGCTGAGAGTAGAAGTGGAAGTGGCCTGACTTCCCCTTCTCCTCATCATCACCCTGTCTTTCTTTCTCCTCCTACTCTGCCATCGCCTCTTTCCTGAGTTGAAAGATAAAAACTTGGGGTATCTTAGTCATTTTCTGGCCGAGTGGCACCACACAACTAAGGCATCACAAAAAGGAGCGGTGTGTTGGAGGGAGAGAGCGGCTTGCGATATAGGAGTTTGCCTGGCAACAGGTGAAAAGACCGAGATGAGACTGTTGATAGTAGTATGGTTTGATCCTTTCTCACCTCTCTTACCACCTCTCTCCTCTTTTGCCACCTGCACCTCCTGCCTTTTATAATCCTTCGCTTGCTTTTGATGAGGTGTGGATCACTTTGACCCTGTGACTAATCAGTAAACTAGTCACTACCATAAAAAATGCATGGAACTGATCTGCAATTAAAAAGGTTTGGGGCTTGATCTTGTTGACAATGAAGTATCAGTTTTAGGGTGAAATCTGAACAGCAGAGGTTCCCTGACATCGCCTCATAAAGGCGTTCACATTTACTTTGTCTCACATGGTGTTAAGTGTGTGTTGTGTGTTTGTCTGTGCTTGTGAGGAGTAGGCTGTAAATGAGGTTTTGCCTAATGTCAGAGGTTGATGTGGGTGTATGACTCATGACGGGGGTGGTGGCGGCTAGGCTGGCAATTTGACGACATTGCCTGCTGGAGCAGATGGATTCAGTCGCACGCTTAGAGGGAAAGTGAGTGTTGCTGTTCATTCAAAGGTGGCTGATTGTTGCTCTCCATGTAGGGACACTTGGTAAAGGTGCACAAGGCAGCTCTGTGTAGTTGAATTTCCAAGAGGCATATTAAATTGTTTTACAGAGGCTTTTCCAGTCTAGCTTGAATAAATGTGGAGGAGTTGAAAGCTGCTCAATGTTTGGAATTAATTTAAACGTTTCCACTCCCACTTTTTTTTCCATAAATGGATCTTGATGCATCCTTGCTTCACATAAACCAGGCTAGACTTGTTTTGCGTTAGCTTTGGCACCGGCAACACTTTCCACTGCCAAGAACAGCTCTTTTGTCCTTAAACACAACCACCATGCACGTTTTTGTGAACCAGTTTAATAAGCCTTATATGATATGATATTGTCTAATTTGCACCGGTGCAGTTAACTTAAATTTAGCTCTGATTTGCTAGACAGTTCCCCCATCCAGATACTTAAGGATTTAATTTGATTTTTTGTTTTTTTTAAGCTTTATTTTGGTATGGGTGTATGTAAGAAGAACACACCAGTTTTACACAGTGTTTAGTTACTGTTAGTAACTGTTATGACAAGCTCTCAGTCTGTGGAAGCAAATGCATAATGCTGTCTGTAGCTCTGGAAAAGCATTACCGAATTCTGAGAAAATAAACCTGATGATGGGCTTGTAACAGAAAACTTGTTTGAGGTAGGTTTTTTTTGACATATGTTGGCATTTACTGGGCAGGGAAAGTCTGAAAGATGCAGCTGAGGAGTTTTATGGGAAATGTGGGATTCAGCATTTTTGGAACATTACTCATAGGTAAAGCTAAAATATCTCTGCTTCTGCTGTGTTGATTTGGAAACCTCTGTTTTTTTATGTGTCCCCCTAAAATCCCCCATATTTGTGGACATTATTTAATAAATCACTGGCGTAAGTTTTTAATTACTGTCTACTTATTAGTTTAGGTTCGGAGGAGGTATTTGTACTTTCCATCACTTGTCTGTGATGGACTGTGTGCTTTTTCCTTGGTAAAACCAAAGCAGCAGTATCCATGTGATGTCATCTTGTTACATTATACACTGTAGTGGTGGGAGGATACTAAATACCACCCAGAGAAAGTCATCTCTGTTCCCATTTTTTATTTGAACCTGTATGAGGAGGTCATAAACTCTCCTGTATCACTTTAAAGAGGGAGACCAGTTCAGGAGATCATTTATTCGCTCTGTATCAACAAGGATGATAAATAAGGTTATGACTAGATAATTATAACGTTTTTGAAATTAGAAATAATTACACTGCTCATTACCAACAGCGATGATGACACACATCTGAGTGCAGTGGAGTTGAAGTCCTCCTTGAGGGAAAAGGGCAGGCGTTATCTCACAGACTGGCCCACTTTTAAAATGCCAAACATCTTTGCTAGATCGCGGGGTGGGGTGAAAAGGTTCTGCAGATGGACTGTGGTGGCAACAAGCTCATTAAAATGATTAGTCATTAAACAGGTGGCCTAAAGGTAAGAACAGAGCGAAGCAAATTTTAAATGAAACTGTTAATTGATGATGTGAGACAACAGTTGTTCTATGGTTGTGAGGTTTGGCTTTTTCTACCTGAGTACATCTGCAAGTGACAGAACGTTGTCCTGCTCATGTGTTACAAGCTGAAGAAGTAATAGGCTGAGCAGGAGTCTGGTACAATTACAGTAAGATGATTCATTATTGGTTAAAATTATTCTAGAAAACCAAAAGATAGTTGAAAGTCGATGCAGAGCAATATCACTTTAACAATGTTCCTCCCTGTTTCAGTGGTTGACGGGTACATGGTGTACAGGTGTGTCAGGTTGTTTGTGTTCTTTTTATGCTGCTGGTTGTGAACAAATAAACTTAATTTCAGCACATTTTAAAGATGGTCTCTCTGATATTACATTTAATTTATGTAACGTAACCTCCAAACAATAAAAAATGTATTCCCAGAAGGATTTGACAGGCTGCTACACCAAGCAGTGGCATTAAACTGTACAGACGTTCCCAATCACTCTTCAAAACACTTTGAACCAATAGTTTGTGTCACTTTTATTTGTAAAATATTCACAATGAAAAGTAATAGACAATGTTGTGACACTGGCTTCACAGAGGCTCACAGCACTAACAAACACACAGTTTATTAGTGCACATGCATCATGCTAGATTCAAAGCCCTTACAATAATCACATTTCTTTGCACTTAATAAACTCAACTTGTTGATATGATCTGAGAAACAGTTTGTTGCTTCAGTGTGATTTGGATGTGAAGTTTGTTAGTCCATCCAAAACTACCTCATTGCACAGTTGTTTCCCCTTCAGGCACAAAAGAGGCTAATAAACTAAACACAAGCTATTAAACCAGCTAAACACAACACACACAGTGTACAGCAGCGCTCACACACAGACTGTAGTAAAAGCTGAGTGGCACAACAGTGCACATCACCGCTGGTTATGACAGAAGCAGTTTCTTTGCAGAGACGAGTCCAACTGATAAAGCTGTTTATGTTCAGAGCCTTTGTCTTTGCTATGAAAGGATTCACTGTTGGCTTGTCTTCATATTAAAAAGTGGTACTTTTGTGTGAGATCTAATCACAGCCAATTTAGATATCATAGATGCTAAGTTGATTTGGATCACTCTGAACTCTGTAAATACCAGCATACAAAGCAATGCGAAGGTTGATGCCAACGTGCCATTCTGCTGATAATGATCGCCCAGACTAATCAAATCCTGTGACTGTAAACTAACCTTGTGCAGGAAAAATTTAAACACTGTCCTGTAAGACAGTTCAACCCATCTGGTTTTCTTCTTGCACCCATGACACATTACATGTTAGAAGATCTTTGAGCCAATACCTTCATGTTTGCAGGGTGTGAATATAGTATCAGGCATTACTCTTTTCTCTTTCATCCTTTCCCTCTCCTCTTCTTTTCGTCCTGTTTCCCTCCGTTCTACTTGACAAAGTGCAGGGCCTCAGCTGCCACCACAGAGCCTTTGCTGCTGTCAAGGCTAGTGACCAGCTTGAAGCCTGATTTCAGTGCTAGCATCACTGTCTCTAGTTTTAGACAGTCAAGTGTGCACAAGAATGTGCTGTCCTCCTTGAGAACGAGCCGCGAGCCAGGCTCTGATTTGATGAAGTGTCGGAACTGGATCACGTTGGATGACACCACGAATTCTTCCGGGAAACCATCCAGACGGCTCTTGGAGATCTGCACCAGCCGCCCTTTGACCTTCTCGATGAAGGCGGGGTCACTGCAGTACACCTTTAGGCCATGTGACCTCTCATGGCTATCCGTCACCTCCAAAAAGGCTGGTTCCCGCTGAGCTGCCCTCTGATTTTCCCACTCAACCACAGCCTCCACCAGTTCACTCAGACGGTAAAAATCAGCCTCTCGTCGCAGGAGTCCCGCCTCTCGGAAGTCGTCGGGTAGCTGGAGCTCTCCGGTTCGCAGGTAGTTGAGCACATGGCGAAAAACTGGACCATCTCTGTCAATGAATGGATTGCCCATTGAGTCAGTTTGCTGATCTGGCTTCTTACCATTGGCCAGCTCTTCTAGAAAGGACCCCAGGTGCTTGGCAAGAGTGGTCCGGTGGGCGGTGTACAGGAACCCTCCTACATTGAGGGTGATGGTGCCTGAGGAGGGTTTCTTGAAGCTCTTGCTGGGCTGCAGCAGATCCGGGTTGATGTGCCTCAGTTCACTTTCCATCCTTCTGAGGTTCCATTCCATTCTCCAGTCACCCTCTCCAGCCTCAACCCAGCCTCCTCGGAGCTGGTCTGTCTGTGTGCGTGCAGTGTTTTTTTCCTCTCTCTTTTGGAGCTGGCTGTGTGAGTCTGTGGCGCTGCTGAAAAAAGGAAAAGGTGTTGTCAGCTGTCGTATAGTGAGAGTGAATGTGTTTGAGAGCGTGTGGTGGTAGAAGGGTGAGTGCTATCTGGCAGAGGCACTACAGTGAACTGGGAGCTGAAAACAGACTGGTTCTCTGTACTGCTCAGTGTCCCTCCTCTCCCTCTCCCTTTCATTAGGAGTGGGTGGGTAGACAGCGTCACTTGCAGGGAGGAGAGAGAGGGAATATGTGAGCAAACAACAGAAGAGCATGGATTCCAGGAGCTCTTTTTTTCCTGCTCTCTTTCCATAATTATCGCTGATAAACAAGGCACAGAGCTGAGCTCTAGCAATTAGATCTTGTGCGCACACACACACACACACACACACACACACACATACCCCCTCCCATCACCAGATGGAGGGAGGGATGCAACCATAATCTTTTCGGTGTGAAACTGTTTCAGCTTGTGTGAGGCTGAACATGAAACTCCTTTTGCAGCCAAATCCATCTGTTTACCACACAGCACTTCATACAGTATGAACTGGAATCTGTTGGAACAGCGGTCCAGCATAATTCAGGGGTTTTTCTGGCATGCTCTTTCTGCCTCACCTCAGGTTATGATGGGAAGAAGTGGGCTGTTTGCTTTACTTATGTACAGTAAATGAAAGCAACAGGGAATGCATTGGTTTTCTCTTTAGCAGGGTAACAAGCAGTCCCCTGTCGAATGTTGCCTGTGCTTTGATTGACTGGCTTTGGGTCCTGTCGAAGGAATGGACCAATTACAGTCAATGCTAGTCAGGTCACGAAGGACAGGTCTTGAATTGGCCAGCGCTTGGGCCTGGAGCCTCCCTCAGGGAACTACTGTAGACCACTGTGTGTGTGTTTCATGTGACTGTCTCGACCCTAGTGCAACTGCAGACGTGTAAAAATCAGTTCATGTCCAATGTGGGGAATTGCACAGAGGGCGTCTAAATAGTATACACAGTAGTGCATAAATTATATTTGAGATGTTTAGTTTGTCATCAGTTACACAGTACCATCAGAGAGGTGTCTGATTGGTCCCTGATTTGTTCTGGTGTGTGACAGTTAGCCCAAACATGCAGCCAGACTCATAAAGAACTGTCTTCAGAAGGACTTGTGCAACAGATGGTCTGGCCCCAACATCGTGAGTTAGTCTGGGATTATGATGAAGAGGAAGACACTGAGACAGGAGTTGTTCTCGCAACTAAAGAAATTATTATTCCATAATTACAGGTGATGACAGAACAGCTTATAGTACTGAATTACATGTAGCAAAGTCTGTCCATTTTGTGTTATATCTGTGGTTGCTAACACAGAGCATGCTTTCGTTGTCTCCATTTGGAGTGTGAGTGTTTGGTCTTTAGAGATCGTGCAGCTAAAAATCAGCGTGTACTGAGAGCATGTTTTGGCTGCTTCAGCTACCACATGCTGCATTAATGTTCTCTTTATTTTTAAACTATAATCAATTTTAAATATCCCAATCTTTCATCAGTGTTGTCCTACCTTAGATGATGCAAGTCATGTGATTATACATTACTTGTGTTGAAGGTTACCACCTTAATTTTGCCAAATGTTAGTGTTTGGATTAGGTAGTACAGTATCTTATACTGTAGGAGGGACAAGGTAGAAAATGGTAGATAACACACATGCTCCTGTGTTAAGATAACTGTACTTGGTATTAAAATCCTGCTTCTTGTACATGTACATGTATAATCACTAACACAAATGCACAGTCAGTCTTCATACCAACCCAAACAACAGTTCTGTTGTAGACATATTTCAGTGAGGACAGTTTGTAACCTACTTCAGATGTTTTTTTTATAGAAGGGGGGCAGTGTCAGTCAGGCTGCATAATTTATCAGCACTTGCACAGGAGCCTGGCAATGACAGAATTCCTGGATTGTAGCAGTATTTGTTAGCGCAGGGGAGCAGAAATGGCATGTTTGCTTTGCAGGGATGTTTATATCTCAGACTTCTCAGTGTCAAAATACTGTTTATTAAAACATTTCACTTAATTTACTTTGGCAGAAGAATGGACTGATGGTTACTTGGCTGTACTGAACATCACAACCAAGAGTAGCAGGGTTCTGGGATGAGAGATTAGATTTAGAGCTGCAGCTGTTATTTCTGACTTTGAATTGATTGGTCAGTAAAACATGAAAAAGTGAAGTCAGTCCAAAACCCAAAAAATATTCAGTTTATTATCACAGAAGAAATCAGAAAACAAAATGAAATTCACATTTGAGTTGGCAGAATCAGTGAAACATGTTTGATTTAAAATCTAACTGAGCAATTGAATGATCTCAGTAGTGGCTGATTTATGTCAGTCGATAAATTGTTTCAGCTTTTTTTTTTAGATGAGACAAACAATCCAAGGTCCCAACGGTGAAACTGTGCCGTCACACCTCAGTAGTGATGCTAGTAGCAGCAGTAATAGATAGACTACAAAAAAGACAATTTGTGTGCGTATACACATATCCAAAACTCAAACACTGACATATTTGAAAACAGGTCGGGACTTTAGCCCAGCATAATGTGCAAACCACCAGCATTAGTGTCAGCACTAGAATCATGAAAAGCAAAAACGCGGACTCAGCCTCCAGACAACCACTGTAATAACACTTGTTCACCACCTCATTTTAAATCCTCTGGCCTTAAACTCTGGATTTATGTCAGGACTCCACAAAGGAGCTACTGTTTATTACCCTGCTGTCCACTGCTACATGCAGCTTCACTCATATTTAGTTGGCAGTTACTTTTTATTACAGTATTTGCCTCAAGCCACCAAATCGCACTTATTTCTACCGAGGGCCACAGCTTGCGTAGCAAAAAGATGTGATGTCTAATGATGAGAAAAGCCCTGAAACTCTGCATTCATGGTGACACTCGTGTCTGCCTTGTTTGCACCCAGGATCTTTTTTTTTTTTTTTTTTTGTAAGTCTGTTGGATCACACTTGAAGCCACTTCTCAGGAGTCTTGTCACATTCAGACTAGGTGTGTAAATGAAGGTGCTGTTACATGCACCTTTTATTTAGCAACACAAATCAAAAAAGAGTTTTTTTGAGATATAGCCTATAATTTATAGCCATTATTATTGTTATTATAGCAGTTGGCAAATATTATTAGCTTCACAAGTAGGAGTAAATGTGAGGATATTTAAAGTGTAAAATTTAGCTCCTTTTCTTTTGTCTGTGTATCTGAGAGAAAAGCCCAGAGCGACAGTGCTCACTCTCTCTGCGGCAATTTTCTAATCATAAGTGATTAGTAATATCATCAACAACACTCAATTGGAATTGCAAACGAGGCCAAGATGCAGCAGAGAGGATTGTGGGAGGTTTGACCTGCTTTCTGCCTCCTGTTCATTAACTGGCTCATCGAGGGCGATGGTTATCTTCAAAGCCAGTGAGAATCTGCTTGTTACAGCTGTTGCATCTCTTTGTGAAACCGATGGCTGGGACATTTGAATTAAATTTCCCAAAATGCTGCAAACAAGGGCTCTCCTTTCCTCTTAAAGGTGGTGAATTATTCATGGAGCTGCTCTAAGAGCTTGTGATGAAACATGGAGTCGGTGACTGCTGTGAAGCTGGCATGGCAACCACTGAAAATAGGGTCTTGTGTGAGCTCAGCGCTGTCAGTCTCTTGCTTTATTCATTATGGAAGTCTGCTGTATAGAATCTATGTGTGTGTGCCAGCAGCAACATTAATCTAACCTTGAAGGTCAGGCATCATATCACAGGTAAAATATTCAAAAACAACTAACAAGCTGGCTAAAAATTAGTTGAGTCATAGACTTAAACTAAAATGATGAACACCAGAGTCAAATGTTAAACTTTTTTTAAGCTGCGAATTCAAATATTAAACTGGTTTAATATTTTATAGTTGTTTTTAATTATTTAAACTAAAGTTAAATTGTCAGATATCTGAAGAGAAAAAGCTTGTTCACATTTTCTCTCCAGCTAGAATATCAAAGATATTTCCAAAAGAAAGTCAAACATAAAAAAAGACAAGATATGGACAATAAGATTACAGCCACCTCAAAGCTGAAACCATAAAAATGTTTTGTACTATTTTAAAATTCTCTGTTTTCATGTGTTCCTCTTTTAGAACCAAGATGCGCCAACTTTCAAACAGCCAGTGAGAGTGAAAAACTGACTTACAGCCCAATTACTAGTAAATAAATTGCCCATCAGTTCTCTCTTGCTTCACTCTGAAGCCTGTTGGTTGCGTATGGATAGTGCTGTTCCATGCTAAAACCAAAACAAGTGGGCTGGATACAATTATGGACATTGGCAAATCACTTCAAAGTTAATGAATGGAGTCATTAAATTTCCTTAATGAAGCAGCCTCTGGGCCTGGTAGAGATGAGCTCTAATGGAAAATTATATTTGGAGATCTAATCAGTGACTATTTCCCCCTCGTTTTGCTTTCTTGTTGTCGTGTATAGACAAGGCTTTCACTAGTGTGTGTGTGTGTGTGTGTGTGTGTGTGTGTGTGTGTGTGCGCGCGCGCGCGCGTGTTTGATAATGAGAAAGGAAAGGCTATCTAAGGCTTGCTAAGGGAGTCTTACTGTTTTTGTGCACTCTGTGTATGCACAAAGACATAAATACTGCAGAAGCAGCTCATTTGAGGAGTTTCTGTCAGAATAATTTTAACCACTAGTCCTGGGATATGGCTTAATGGCTATAAGAACGTATGTGCAAGATTCTTCTTGGAATACATGAATACATATGAATGTAGCTAAAATGCATCCCTCTGCTTTGCATCTTATATGTGTGTGTGTGTGTGTGTGTGTGTGTGTGTAGGCCTGCCCTCAGACACACAGACCTGAAGTTAGATGCATGTAGTAGGCTACTGTAATTCCCAATTTCTGCTGTTTTCAAGTTGGCTGAAAAAGTACACGGACCGTCGGACGTCATGATAAGCATCACACCTCTAGCGCTGGGAGTCCGGCAGTCGTGTAACACAGGAGTGACATTTTACCAGCTTTTTAAAGTTCATCATAAAAAGGTTTAAATCAAAAAAGACGCCTTGAAGGAGGTTCAAAACAAAACAAATCTCTGTGTTAAAGGAGCTTAACACTAAAATATATTAACACACAGTAAATAAAGTCTGTAGGGTACGTTCAGCTTTAGCAGGTCTATAGATGAGTGTTGTTCTCATAACAGCATGAGGTTCATTTTGTTGTTGGGTCTTGTGCAGTGTATGTGAGGCTTCCCTG